ACCAGACACTAAGAATATAGAGTATAGTAGCCTATAGTACTACAATATTGTAATTTTATAGTACTCTGTATTTTACAGTAATACTACTTACCTTTTCGTGGTGGAGAGACAAGGTGTAAACCGCTGTAATCGATAGTGTTGAATAAATTATTCAGAGTCAGAAGAGCTGTAAAGCTCTACTAGTTAAAATAGTGTAGGTGGCCGAGATGTAGATGGCTGAGATGATGTAGAGAACTCAGATGTCGAGGATTTAGAAAACACAGATAACTGAGAAGACATAGATTTCACATACCCATGCCACTGAGATGCCCCATTGTAAATTGCACTTTACTTAATATGTTAATAAACTCACACAAAATGCTCTAAATCCAGGGAAAATTGGAGACTGAATGATGAGTGTGTGTGAGCACAAACAATAAATTGGCACAGGTGGCCTATGGCTCAGGGAACAATGAAAACGGATAGGTCCTGGACGTGGCCACTGGCCCATACCTGACAAACGATGAAATTTGCAGATTTGGCCCAGTGCTTCAGAAGACAACTGGGCACTATCACTATGGACAAAATGCAGAACTAGAGACTTAAGTCCATTTTATTCGACAATTTGAGCATCTTAATGGATTTTAGCCAATTTGTCCAAAATTGCTGAAATCCATTAATGAGAGGTTTTACTGAACTATATTTTACACTATAATACTTGAATACCTATAATACTGATCAAATATAGTAAGAATGATGCATGTTATGATTTCCTTGGAAAATATGTCAGATTTTTTGTGGAGTGGTGATGGATACAGAAAATAAGGTCTAACCTATTTTTAGATTACAAATGTGCACCCTTGTACTTGTTACCTGCCTTTTGTACAGTCTTACCCTGTTTACCTCATAAAGTCCTCCAAGTATTTTGTAAAGCAGTCTCATGTCTTCCCTCTTCCTTTGTCATCTGTTATCAAGTTCAGCTCTTATTCTTTACAAAGCAGTATTATTATTATTATTTTTTTTTTTTTTTTCAACAAGTCGGCCGTCTCCCACCGAGGCAGGGTGACCCAAAAAAAAGAAAGAAAATCCCCAAAAAGAAAATACTTTCATCATCATTCAACACTTTCACCACACTCACACATTATCACTGCTTTTGCAGAGGTGCTCAGAATACAACAGTTTAGAAGCATATATGTATAGAGATACACAACATATCCCTCCAAACTGCCAATTTTCCCAAACCCCTCCTTAAAGTGCAGGCATTTACTTCCATTTCAGGACTCAAGTCCAACTATATGAAAATAACCGGTTTCCCTGAATCCCTTCACTAAATATTACCTGCTCACACTCCAACAGATCGTCAGGTCCCAAGTATCATTCGTCTCCATTCACTCCTATCTAACACGCTCACGCACGCTTGCTGGAGTCCAAGCCCTCACCCACAAAAACCTCCTTTACCCCTCTTTCCAACCCTTTCAAGGACGACCCCTACCCCTCTTTCCTTCCCCTATAGATTTATATGCTTTCCATGTCATTCTACTTTGATCCATTCTCTCTAAATGACCAAACCACCTCATCAACCCCTCTTCTGCCCTCTGACTAATGCTTTTATTATTATTATTATTATTATTATTATTTTATTATTATTATTATTATTATTATTATTATTAGCACATCAGTTGTCTCTCGTCAAGGTAGGGTGACCCAAAGAAGAAACACTTTCACAGTCATTCATTCAATCATTGTCTTGCTAGAGGAATGTTGACATCACTGTTCAGATAAACTTCTGAAATACGACATCCCCACCCCTCTTTCTGAGCGTAGGCAGTCTTATTTACCTCCAGGACATAAGTCCAGCTAACAGGTTTTCCTGAATTCCTTCATAAATGTAACCTTGCTCACACTCCAACAACACATCACATTTTAAAACCACTTGTGTTCACTGACCTAACTTGCCCACACAAGCCTGTTTGCACTCAAAACCTATTTTACCCCTTGCCTTTAATCCTTCCTTGGATGACCTCTACCCCAAATTTATTGCCTTTCTAGTCATCTCACTTTGCTCCAGCTTTTGGTAATTCTACACCACCTAATCTCCACGGTTTGAATTCTCTGCATACAATTTACACCACACATTGCCCTAAAACATGATACCTCTACTGCCTCCAACCTCTTCCTCAATGCAATGTTTAAAACCCATGCTTCACACCCACATAACAGAGTTGGTATTGCTGTACTCTAGTACAATCCCCTTTTCTGCCTCCATGGATAAGGTTCTTTATCTCCACAGATGCATCACTGCACCACCCACCTTTTTATCCTCATCAATTCTATGATTCACTTCATCTTTCACAGACCCATCTGCCAATGAGTCAACTCCCAAATATCCAAACACATCTGCTTCCTCCATACTCCTTCCCTCCCAATTTGATATCCAATCTTTCATTGCGTAAGTATTTTGTTACTGTTATTACCTTGCTCTTTCTTATGTTCACTTTTAATTTCCTCCTTTTACATAATCTCCCAAATTCAACTTCCAAGCTGTGGAGTAGGGATGTATCGGATGTGAAAATTTAGATATCCACAGATGTGGATGTGTATTTGGATGTCTTACTTATTTTGCAGATGCGGATGCAAATGCGGATATCTGCTTATAGTACAATGCAGATTGCGGATGTCACATCTTGACATCCTCCCGGATGCGGATGTGGATGCGGATTTTGGAGGATAGTCATAGAACGCCAGATTTTTTTTTTTTACTGTATAGCAAATACTCTTGTGAGTGAGGGACTGAACACATCGATTCCAGGCTGAGGGATTGATTACCTCAAACTCCTCTCCTTATGCCTTCCTGCTTTGTATTGGACTGATGAAGCCACTGTGCGGCGAAACGTTTCTTCAGTAAAGATTCCCACATGTTGCATAAGTGTCTCAATTCTTCAAGCAGTCAGTTTCCAAACCATTTATCACATGCTTATTTGTATTTAACACCATTTCAGCAATTTCACCAGCCCCTCCCACTCATATATTTGTCCAATCTCTTTTTAAAGCTACCCAATGTCCTAGCCTCGATCACCCTACTGGTAAGATTGTTCCACGCATCCACAACTCTGTTAGGAAACCAGTATTTACCTATGTCCTTTCTAAATCTAAATTTTTCCAACTTAAATCCATTATTTCTGGTTCTACACCCTCAGTACTTTATTAACATCTCCTTTGTTCATGCCCGTCATCCACTTATACACTTCAATGATATCTCCCCTCATTCTATGTTCTCCAGAGAGTGGAGATTTAAGGCTTTAAGTCTATCTTCATATGGGAGATTCCTTACACAGTAAATCATTTTAGTCATTCTTCTCTGTATGTTCTCTAATGAGTCTATATCCATCCTGTAGTAAGGAGACCAAAACTGAGCAGCATAATCTAAATGAGGCCTCACTAGCGATGTATAGAGCTGTAAAATAACTTTTGGACTTCTGTTACTTATACTTCTAGAGATAAATCCAAGTAATCTGTTAGCCCTGTTGTGCACACTTAGGCACTGCTGTCTTGGCTTTAGGTTTCTGCTTACCATGACTCCCGAGTCTTTTTCACATTCTGTATGATCAAGCTCTATTTCACCTAGCTTATAGCTTCGAGGGTTATTTTCATTACCAAGGACTAGTACTTATCCACATTGAACTTCATCTGCCATTTCTAAGACCAAGACATTAATTTGTCCAAATCCTCCTGGAGTTCTTTGCTATCCTCCTCAGAATGAATCATACAGCCTATCTTTGTATCATCAGCAAATTTGCTCATGTCACTCGTAATCCCTTCACCAAGGTCATTAATGTAAATTATGAACAAAAGAGGGCCTAAAACTGATCCTTGTGGAACGCCACTAGTGACTAATCCCCATTCAGATTTGACCCCATTAATCGAAACTCTTTGCTTTCTATTGGTAAGCCATGCCTCTATCCATGCTAGAACTTTACCTCCTATACCATGAGCTCCCACTTTTCTTAAGAGTCTCTTGTGAGGTACTCTATTGAAGGCTTTACTAAATTCCAAATAAACAATATCATATCTTTGACACTGTCTACTGCCTCAAATGTTCTACTGAAGGATGTCAGTAAATTTGTCAGGCAGGAACGACCTCTCGTGAATCCATGCTAAGATTCATTTATCAAGTTATGCTCTTCAAGGTGACTTCTAATAATGTCAGCTATAACTGATTCTAGTAACTTGCCCACTATATATGTCAGGCTTATTGGAAGGTAATTTGAAGGAATGGACTTATCCCCTGATTTGAATATAGGAATCACATTAGCCAGCTTCCACAACTCGGGCACAACACCAGTAAGGATGGATGCATTAAACACACCCATTAATGGCTGACTAAGTTCCATCTTACATTCCTTAACCCTTTGAGGGTCGACAGGCCCTCTCCGAAACTCGTTCTCAGGGTCGGCCAAATTTAAAAAAAAAAAAAAATTATTTTCTCTTATGAAAAGATAGAGAATCTTTTTCCCGATCATAAGTCAACAAAGTTTGAAACTTTGTAGTAAAACTTACAAATTAGCCTCGCAAATTAGGTCCTCGGCGATGGATTAGATCGCGCTTAATTCCCACTTTGGACTCTTTTTGAATTTCAGAGTAATGACAAAAATCTGTTAGTTTGTAGAAACTCTTAGCATGTTTTTCTATCAAGGATGCAAATACCATCATTATGATTCACATCTGTACAGTGTCAAATTTAGCATTTTGCCAATTTCACAGAATTTTCATTACCAATGGACTGAATTGTCCACATTAACTATCTGCCATTTCTAGCACTAAAATAAATTTTTCCCCAATTCCTGAGTTCTTTCTTCCATCCCTCTTGAATATTCATTGCTTTCTTTGATTTCTCAAATTTCCAAAAAATTAAGATTTAAGTTTCAGTACTGCATTATTAACAAAGATGCCTATAATTGGTGCCTTGTGAACGCCATATGACTAATCCCATTAGATTTGCCCCTTTGAAACTCTTTGTTTACTATTGAAGTTTGGTAAAACCTCAAATTCTCCTATACCAATTTCAGCACTTTTCTATGTTAAATAGTAAATCATTAAGTTTTTAAATTCCAATTAACAATATCATAAATGACAGTCTAGCCTAAAGTATCAACTAAGAATAAATTGTCAGAGAACAATCAAGTCGTGAATTCATAAAGATTACATTTCAAATGTTCTTTGTTCTCATTAGTCATGGTTACAGATTCTTTTTAACTGTCCACACTGACACATAGACCTATTGTAGTACATTAAGGAAGGCCTACCCTATTTGCACATAGATTTGAGGCCTAGATTTCAAACTCGGGCACACAAAAACCCCATGAGCGTTAAAAACGTACCATTAGCTGACAAACCTCTTAAGGCTTAAATACCCTGGAAAACAACTCGTCGGGCCCTGGGGACTTATTTTGCTTCAGTTTGTCTATCTATTTGATAATCATGTCCCTTGTGACAGTAATATTAGTCAATCTGAATTCATCAGGAACTGAATAATTGTTAATTTCTGGAATCTCATTTATGTCTTCCTGTGTAAAACTAACAAAAAACAGTCATTAAATATGGAACACATTTCTGGTTCGTTATCCGTCAGCTGTCCATTCCCAATTTTCAGAGGTCCTACTTTTTCCTTCACCTTCGTCCTATACACTTGAAAGAACTCCTTTGGATTGGGCTTTGATTCATTAGCAACTCTAATTTTATAGTCATGTTTAGCCTTTCTAATCCCCTTTTTTACTTCTCTTTTAAGCTGAACATATTGGTCAGTAAGGTTAACCTATCCTCTTCTGATATGCATATAAATTCCACTTTTCTACCCTAAGAGATGCTTTAAACTCCTGTTAACCCATTTGGGATCGTTATTATTAGACCTAATTTCTCTCTGGGGAATGTATATACACACAGTCACACAGTCTCACACACACAGTCACACAGTCTCACACACACAGTCGCACAGGTAGTTTCAAATTTAGGTTGGATAAATACTTTTTTTTTTTTTAAACAAGTTGGCCGTCTCCCACAGAGGCAGGTGACCCAAAAAGAAAATACTTTCATCATTCAACACTTTCACCTCACTCACACGTAATCACTGTTTTTGCAGAGATGCTCAGAACACAACAGTTTAGAAGCATATACGTATAAAGATACACAACATATCCCTCCAACCTGCTAATATCCCGAACCCCTCCTTTAGAGTGCAGGATTGTATTTCCCATTTCCAGGACTCAAGTCCGGCTATACAAAAATAACCGGTTTCCCTGAATCCCTTCACTAAATATTACCCTGCTCACACTCCAACAGATCGTCAGGTAGCAAATACCATTCGTCTCCATTCACTCCTATTGAACACGCTCATGCATGCCTGTTGGAAGTTCAAGCCCCTCACCCACAAAACCTCCCTTACCCCTTCCTTAGAACCTTTTCGAGGACGACCCCTACCCCGCCTTCTTTCCCCTACAGATTTATATGCTCTCCATGTCATTTTACTTTGATCCATTCTCTCTAAATGACTAAAACACCTCAACAACCCCTCTTCAGCCCTCTGACTAATACTTTTATTAACTCCACACCTTCTCCTAATTTCCACACTCCGAATTTTCTGCATAATATTTACACCACACATTGCCCTTAGACAGGACATCTCCACTGCCTCCAACCGCCTCCTCGCTGCTGCATTCACAACCCAAGCTTCACACCCATATAAGAGTGTTGGTACTAATATACTTTCATACATTCCCTTCTTTGCCTCAACAGATAATGTTTTTTTGTCTCCACATATACCTCAATGCACCACTCACCTTTTTTCCCCTCATCAATTCTATGATTAACCTCATTCTTGGATAAATACAAGGTTGGATAAATACAAACCGCATTAATGGACTCAAATTAGGTAAGTTTAGATTTAGAAAGGATATAGGAAAGTATTGGTTTAGTAATAGGGTAGTTGAGTGAAATGGTCTGCCTAGTAGGGTTATTGAAGCTAAAACCTTGGGTAGTTTCAAATTTAGGTTGGATAAGTACATGAGGGAGAGGGGTTCGATTTGAGTGGGACTTGCATGCGAGTAAATGGAATTGTCAAGGCTTATTGCTTAGGTAGCGTTTATTCTGTTAGTGCGTTGGATTTGTGAAGGACCTGCCTAGTATGGGGCAACAGGCCTACTGTTGGGAAATAAACATGCAAGCTCTGTAATTTAGGTTATAATATCCGCCACATCCTCTTTGTTTGGCACGGATGCAGATGCAAATGCGGATATTTATTTAATCGTGATTGCGGATGCAGATGTGGATATCTCGTTTAGAAAAAATAAGGATGAGGATTTAAGAAAATGTGCGGATGTTCCATGGATGCGGACGCGAATATGGATATCCGATACATCTCTAATGTGGAGCTTCCTCCACCTTTTCTATGCCCTGCACCCCTAGGAAATGTTTAATTCATCTTGCACCTCCTACAAAAGTAATATGACATCTGAAGATGAAAAAGCCAAATTTCTATTTTTTGAATCACAAATTGAACCAATTACAATACTGCAAGTCAACAAATTGAATTAAAAAAAAAGCTTTTAATTCAGTGCATAAAATTCAAATATAAATTGAGCAATTAGAAAAGTTTTTGGTAAAATACATGGAATTGTGCTTTTCATTAGGACTCTTTGTTGTACCCCTCTGAAATGCCATCTTGCACTCCCTGGACATGCTTGCACCCCAGACTGAGAACCCCTGCTCTAGAATCTCTTCAAAAAAAGCATGTCATCGGCAAAAAGAAATTGTTACATTTCCCACTTTATGTGTATTAGGACTCCTATGTGCATTATTCTTTAATCCCTCATTTCTTTTACAGACCCATTTATGAACAACTATGTTGACATCTCACATCCCTTTTTAACCCTTTGACTGTTTTGGTCGTATATACACGTCTTACGAGCCAGTGCTTCTGAACGTATATATACTCAATAATTCTAGCGGCTTCAAATCAAGCAGGAGAAAGCTGGCAGGCCCACATGTGAGAGAATGGGTCTGTGTGGTCAGTGTGCACCATATAAAAAAAATCCTGCAGCATGCAGTGCATAATGAGAAAAAAAAAAAACTCCGACCGTTTTTTTGGATTAAAACGCCGACTTTGAGGTGTATTTTCATACAGTATTTATTGTTGTATTCTCGTTTTCGTGGTCTCATGTGATAAAATGGAAAACATATTACAGAAATAGAGGTGATTTTGATTAGTTTCATGATGAAAACGATCTTGAAATTGAACTCAAAGTAGCAGAAATGTTCAATTTGTACCAATGTTCAAGAGTAAGCAAATCACACCACACATCCAATACACGTCAACTGGGGAGTCTAATATTCTTTCACTAGTGCACTGATATTATTTATACCATTTTTACAGTAATGCAGTAGTCTGCATAACAGTAAATCTTCTATTTTTTGTATGAATAAAAAATCAAAATAGAAAGCAATAGTAATATAAGAGGGGCCTAGAGACATGACTAATGAACAGAGGATATGTTATTTTAGTGCCAAGAATGTCTACATTGTTTATTCTGGACCCTATTTTGAAACGCATCTTTTTTAATTTGCGTGTAATTGGCCAAATTGTCAATTTCTGACCACTTTATTGGGTAGTTCAAATCGGTAAATGGGCAGTTTCAATTGACAGAAAGAATGGAGTTCTAAAGAAATAGCTACGAGTTTGGTCAACTGGAACAACGCAATTGGCCAAAAATGGGGCTCAAAGTTGGCAAAATCGCTGATGCATACATGTTGCCGAGACCGCTAACTTTGCGGGAGTGTAATTCTTTGAGTTTTCTACCAAATTTCGTACTTTTAGTGTCATTACCATCGGAAAGATTCTCTAGCATTTCATAAGAAAAAATCATTTTTTTTTTTTTTCCAAAAATTTTTCGACATAGAATGACAGTTTCAGAAAGGGGCCTGTGACAGTCAAAGGGTTAAGGCCTACTTTTACTGGAAAATAATCTCCCTTCTTTCCTACATGGCCTAACCTGAACCTCACCATCCACAAAAACTTTTTTTTTTTTTTTTAACATGCTGGCCATCTCCCACCGAGGGAGGGTGATGACAAAAAAAAAAAAAAAAAAAAAAAAACTTTCACCATCATTCACACTATCACTGTCTTTGCAGGGGCACGCAGATATGACAGTTTAGATGTCACTCTATACAGCAAATATCCCAAACCCCTCTTTTAAAGTTTGGGCATTGTACTTCATACCTCCAGGTCTCAAGTTTGGCTAACTGGTTTCCTTGAATCCCTTCACAAAATGTTACCCTGCTTACACTCCAACAGTCTGTTGAGTCCCAAAAACCATTTGCCTCCACACACTCCTATCTAACACACACACACACGCCTACTATTAATCACCTACCACCTATTTCATGTACAGGTCAGCCATCACTAATCCAGCATCATTGGGACCCGTAGTGTGCTGGATTAGTGAGTTTGCCAGATAACAGAGTGGTTAGGTTAGAATACACTTAATTAATCTATCAATAGAGACTCTGGTACATCCTCCTCATTTTCATCACTGCTTTCTCCTCCACTGGCTTGCTGCTGTGGATTTACAACCATCTGCACAATTTCTGAGTCAGTACATATATGTATAATGATGAAATTTGAGTCAGTATAATGATGAAACATGATATTATGCTAGCCGAAATTAGTGTCGGATTACTGATAGAACTGGATAACTGATTGCCAGATTAGTGATGGCCGACCTGTATTTCCAACATCTGAGACATTGCTCCCCTACCCACCCTATCACATGACTTTCCTAAATCTGTAAATGCAAGAAGTTCCTTACCTTTATGTAAGAATTGTTCACTTTTATGTCTCAATGTAAACGCTTGGTCTACACATCCCCTACCCTTCCTAAAGCCTCTTTATTCTCTGCAATCATACTAAATCCTATGGGCCATAAACTGCAGTACTGGATTTGGTTGTAAGGATAGTCATTAGTGGTGCTGATAGTTAATGTAAGTATACAATTAACATCAGGCACAACAGGTTAGTTTATTAT